TACTTTATCATCATTAATTCCATCATCACTAAACATCATCATCATCACCACTACCCCATCACACCCTCACATCACCAACACCACCCCCACCCATAACCACCAGATCATACCACCATTCCCCACCATCCCAGCCATTATCACCACCCATCATCACACACCTGTCATCAACACCACCCCATTCACCCCATCCATCATCCCACCCACACCCCCCCACCCCACCACCCACCACCCCCCTCACCACCACCCCCATCACCCCCACCATCATCCCCCCACCCATCACCACCACCCCATCACCACCATTGTCTCGTCGACGTGGAGGGCATTACCGTCGATCGCGCGGAGGTCACGCCGACACCGCGTCCCAACTTCCGTCTTGGGTTCCGGCTGTCTTCAAAAAATCGATATGCCCGAGACGCGAGGCACCACTCTCTCGTCTCTCTCTCTCTCTCTCTCTCTCTGTCTCTCTGTCTCTGTCTCTCTGTCTGTTCTTTCTCTCTGTCTGTGTCTCTGTCTCTGTCTCTGTCTGTCTGTCTCTTTCATTCTCTCTGTCTGTGTCTGTGTCTCTGTCTCTGTCTCTGTCTCTGTCTGTCTGTCTGTCTATTTCATTCTCTCTGTCTGTGTCTCTGTCTCTGTTTGTGTCGCTCTCTCTCTCTGTCTCTGTCTCTGTCTCTCTCTCTCTCTCTTTGTATGTCTGTCTGTCTCTCTCTTTCATTCTCTCTGTCTGTGTCTCTGTCTCTGTCTGTCTCGATCTCTGTCTCTGTCTGTCTGTCTCTCGTTCTCTGCCTGTCTGTATGTCTGTCTGTCTCTCTCTCTCTTTCATTCTCTCTGTCTGTGTCTGTCTCGCTCTCTGTCTCTGTCTGTCTGTCTCTCTCTGTCTGTCTCTCTCTTTCATTCTCTCTGTCTGTGTCTCTGTCTCTGTCTGTCTCGCTCTCTCTCGCTGTCTGTCTGTCTCTCTATTTCATTCTCTCTGTCTGTGTATCTGTCTCTGTTTGTGTCGCTCTCTCTCGCTGTCTCTGTCTGTCTCTCTCTCTTTCATTCTCTCTGTCTGTGTCTCTGTCTGTGTCTCTGTCTCGCTCTCTTTCATTCTCTCTGTCTGTGTCTCTGTCTCTGTCTGTCTCTGTCTCTCTCTCTCTCTCTTTCATTCTCTCTGTCTGTGTCTCTGTATCTGTCTGTCTCGCTCTCTCTCTCTCTTTCATTCTCTTTGTCTTCTCTGTCTCTCTCTCTCTCTAATTCATTCTCTCTGTCTATGTCTGTTTGTGTCTGCGTCTGTGTCTGTCTGTCTCTGCTCTCTTTCTCATGTTTTTCTTCTAACACATTTATTCTCCTCTGCGTCTCTTTCCCTTTCTATCTCTTTGATTCTATACTCTATGCCCTTCTTCCCATTCCTCCTACGCACGTTTCCTTATTTTACAACTGAATTCTCCCTCTCAGTCCCATTTCCCCTTTTCCTTCCCCTCTAATGCATGTTTCCCCTCCTCCTCCTCCCTCTTTTACTCCCCTATACTCCTTCCCTCTCCTTGAAGCACTCACTCCGGCCTCATCCTTCTCCTTCCGCCCACAAATACTCACTAGGTCCTCCATTCTCTGCCCCCGCCCACCAACATTCTCTTCTCTGACCCCTCTCTCTCTCTCTTTCTCTCTCTCTCTTTTCTCTCTCTCTCTCTCTGTTCTTTCTTTCTCTTCTCTCTCTCTTTCTCTCTCTCTTCTCTCTCTTCTCTCTCTCTTTCTCTTTCTTTCTTTCTCTCTCTCTCTTCTCTCTCTCTCTCTCTCTCTCTCTCTCTCTCTCTCTCTCTCTCTCTCTCTCTCTCTCTCTCTCTCCTCTCTCTCTCTCTCTCCTATTCTGATACCAATACTTCTTCCTCATTCTCCCCTATTTCTTTCATTTACACCCATGTTGTCATTCCCTCCCTTCATACCCATTTTCATAAACCTCCCCCCCTCCCCACCCATCCACCCCCTTCCCTAAAACCCATTCCAACCCCCTTCCACCCACACTCTATCCCTTTCCTTGCACCTGTAGTCACTCCTCTCTCCTCACACACACTCCAACCCACCCCCTCCCCACCACCCACCCCACTCCTCTTTCTCGACAATTGACCCTGTCCCGCCCCACCCTCTCCCACCCCCTCCTCACCCACCCACACTCTTCTTTCTCTCCTCTCCATCCGTTCCCAGTCCAGCGCCTCCTCACCCACCCACACTTCTCCTTTTCTCCCCCCCCCCCCCCGCCCCCAACCCATGCCCGCCCGCCGCTCCCAACCCACCGACACTCCTCCCGCCCACCCTCCTAACCACCTACCACTCTCCTTCTCTCTCCTCTCTCCCTTCCTCCCCTCCCTCCCCTCGACCCACCCAACCACCCAACTCACTCTCCCCACGACCCACCCGATCCACACCAACCTACCCTACCCTCCCCTCTACCAACCACCCCCGACCCACACTAACCATCCACCCGACCCACCCCAACCCACCCACTCTCCACCCGACCACCCCCAGCCCCCCGACCACCCCGACGCACCCTAACCCGACCAATCCAAACCACCCCGCCCTCCATCGACCGACCCACCCCGTCCACCCGGACCACCCCCGCCACACCCAGCTCAATATAGAGATAAGCACAGGAGGGCGAGGTGAGGGAGCAGCGAATCGCTTAATCCGTTTTATTTCCACGCGAACTGTCGTCCAGAGAGCTGTGCACGAGGTGGAGAGAGGAAGCAGCTGATGATGGTGGGGGAGGGAGAGGAACAGTGATGAATGGTTTGGGGGAAGAACCGAATAGAAGATAATGAATGAGGATAGGAGAG